CCTGGGGCAGGTGTACGGCTTCGTCAACCTGGCGGTCAGCCCAGAGATGGAGAAGTTCACCCTCAACATGACCAGTGGCCCCGGCTACTCCTCCAAGCCCTTCGTGGTGTCGGCCAGGAACGCCACCCAGGCGCTGAGCGCCTGGAGGACTGCGCTCAGCTACCAGCAGATCAAGCAGGTTGATGTGTACTGCCACCAGCCCATGGCCCTGCTGGGCTACGAGAGGGTCGGCAGCCCCGAAGAGGTGAAGGACCTCAGCAGAACGTTGCTCAGGAAGCCGCGGCTGTGACGGGGGGGGGGGGGGGCGCGGGCGCCCGCCGACCGCCCTCGGGGGCGGCTGAGCCCCGCTGGGGAGAGGAGCCGCTCCGGCTGGCTTGAGTGAGGGAGGGAGCCGGGAAAAGCAACCTGGTTTCCGATTTCCTCCAAAGACTGCTGAAGGGTAACATACAGTAATGTGATGATTTATTTCTTTTTTTAATTTTTTTTTCCCCCGTGGCATTGGGTTAGATGCGATTTAAAAGAAAAATAAAGTGGAACTGAAAATATGTGTAAAGCCCGTTTCCCCTTCTCTAAAATGCCAGGCAGTGATTCTGTACCAAAATCTTGTTTATGGAGTTCTTGAGTTTTTGTTACCATCTTCAAACCCACTTGCACCATTCCTAACACATCTTTATCTCCCTTGGTGCGGAGGCGATGCCCTTGGAAAGCATAATGCTGAAAATCAGACTTTTGTGTGAAAGCGAATGTTCAGACATGATAGTAATAAAAGAAAAAACAATAAATGATATTCATTTTTATAATTACCTCAATTGTTTGGGAATTACAGTGTTGCTTATGTACAGCTGGAGGGGATGCTTGCTTAAAATAGCAGTGTGGACTTTTTTTAAGGGTATGGGTGGAGGGCTGGAGTGCAACATTTGACGTGTTCAAAGATTAGGAGCTGCTCTCGCAGAAACAAGTACAGATCTCACAAATGTAGTGCAGGTTTTATGGCTATGTCAAAGCAGGTTTCTATTTAACTATTGTCTTTTTTGTTGTATTTAAAAAGTCTTTCAAGTGCCACTGTATTAGTGTCCTAAGAGTTTTAAAACGTTTACCATCACAGCAGTATTTATTTTTGTCTTGACATGTATGTCCAGGAGTCACTGTCAAATAGAAGTGGATCTACAGTGTGACAAGAAGTACAGGATTTAAAAAGACATTTATCATACTGGAAACATTAGCATGTGTGAAAACAAAAATAAAATTATATATATTATATATATTCTATAGTGCTAACAATACAGTAAGCTATTTAAGATATTTCTTGACGTTGATTGGTAACAGGCGTAACAGGGAAGCATAGGAAAATGCATAAAATGATTTATTTTTCCCCTTTGTCTAAGTGTCCGAGGGTATATTTATGTACGAGGAGGGAGGAAACGTACAGCTGTGTGTTCATAGCTATAATGGAGCTTTTACAGAGTCGACCTAGTGTTTGATTTTAGAGCGCTGGTTAGATACTTGTTTCTTGTGAATTGTCATTGCTCTACAATGGAGCCAGATGGTGGTCTGGCTCTTTCTGGGAGCTTTGCCTAGAGACTCTCTCCCATCTTTAAAACTTGATTAAAAAAAAAAAAAAAGGAGATTTTACTACTTCTGCTTTTATAATTTTCTGAAAAAGCCCCGGTTTATTAAAGGTGAAGTGGTGTGTTGCATATGAGAAGTGCAGACACCTCGGGTAGTTTTTAGTCTTGGCGGTGTTCTCCGATGCTCTTTGAAGGCTCATTTTGGAACTTGAGTTTTTAAACAAAAGTGGTTTTGCCAAACTGTTCTCTTAGGAGACTATAGGCTTTTCTACAGGAAATACATTTTACATTGCCTACGTGGGTGTTGTGCCTTCAGCAAATGTAAAGAGTACGAGTAGGAAAAAGGAACGTGATTTGTGAAAATAAATTGATATAAACAGGATGCTGATAAGTGTGTGCGTGTGTGAAAATTTTAGCGATGTGTAATATGTCTATTTCTTGTATTGGTACTTTTACGTTAAACAGGTGATAACTGGCTACTAAGCTATTTGAGTTCTTGATGAAATTTTGGCATTAGATGTTGAACTTACTCTGAAAAGGAAACACATTTAATAAACTAGTTAAAAGATTATTGCATAAGGTTGCCTATACCTTTGCTGAATGACTACATTACGCATGTCCATTCCCTCAGTTCATCATCACTATCAGCACAAACAACATTAATAATTTCTGTCACTGGGAGATCTTGTAATTGGCCTGTTAGGTTGTATTCCCAAATTCCAGATAGCAGTGCTAAAAATGGGAGGGATAGTTAATTTGGTATTTAAAATACATATTAAGGTACTTGTGGTTTTGTGGAATTAGGTGTTTTGTGTTATCACTGTATGTATTCTGAGTGGATTTGGGATGTCTGGGTTTGGGCTGTACCCCGTGGTTTGCTTTTTTTTTTTTTTTCCTTTCTTTCAGTCGGTGTGTCCTGGGGCAGTGCTTGAAAATCTGATCTGCTTATAGAGCACGTTGCTTGCTTTTTATCCATCCGCTGCTTTATGAAGCACTCCGCTACCCACCGCACAGTCCTGCCTGCCTGCCTGCCTCGTAACAGCCGTCCGCGTGTTTGCCAGCGCTGCTATCGTCGGGGGGGGCGGGGAGAGCCTCTCTGCAGAGCGGTGTGCTGCCCACGGGGAAGCGAGCCCAGCTTCCCCTCCGGGCTGGGGCACTGCGCCGAGATTTCGGCTCCCGCTGTCTTAAGTATGAAACTTCGCTGCAGTTTCTAAATGGGGCTTTCTCATGACAGCATGTTACAGCGTAAGCTCTTTTGGTTTTGGGGGGCTGAAGCACGGTCATTTATGTGTGCAGAATTCCTTAGTCTCTTCTGGGAAAGTTTTCTGGGTGAGTAAAGTGAACAGGAATTAATTGCCTCTGGGAGTGTGAAATAGATGAGCCCAATTGACTTAGCTTCCAAAAATCTCCTTCGGATTCTAATTATATGAAAAAGCTCATCCTGTTGTTCTGAGAGAGCACTCGCTGCTCTTCTAATAATGGTGCATTACAAGCATCTGCTTCACTTTACTGATATGAACGGCGTGCCAGTAGAGTTACAGCATCTGAATCTGGTCCATAATTTGAGCTCCACCTACTACATTGCAGCAAGGAATTACCCAACATACTGTACAGTTGTACCTGGGCATGTTTTGGCGAACAGAAGAAGTAATGCAAAGCTCATTTTGTGAAAACAAAGGACTGCAATTTTGTTCAGGTAAAGCTTCAGGAGAAGTGAATGAGACTCTGCTTGTGTAAAATGCTGGTGGGCTAAGCCCTACTTTTAATGCTCCTCCATTAAAAAATAAGTATGTGAACAACTAGCAGTTAAAACAGGCCATTTTTAGTTCTTTTTTATATTCAGAAAAGAGGATTAGAGGAATTTAAAAAAGCCAAACGTAGTTGAAAAAAAAAGAAAAAGTTTTAAATGTGAAAAATTATAGAGAAAAATAGGCTATCAGAAAGATGATGAACACGGTTACAAAAGACCTCTGCCTGTTGTGAGGAGGGACATCTAGCTGAGGTCGGAATACCTAAAAAATACTTGACTCATGCTTAAAAATAGTGCCTGGGTTTGCTTTCTGTCTGATTTAATAATTACAGTGTGCTTCTTCAACTGAAGCTAATGCTTGTATTAGTGAAGAATCAATAGCATACGCAAGGTACAGGGTGCACTAAAGTTGCACTGAACCGGGAGGGAGACTGTTTTGAAGACTTGGCACGTCGTTTCGATGGAACAGAAAGGCCAGTGCGCAACTACGTGTTGCTTTCTGCTGTGAACAAAACCAGAAAATTGTACAAGTGTTGCAAATGGCAATGATCACTCAGTGCATGAAAACACAGGAAAACCCTCTGTCCTCCACTGAATCAGCTTAAAACACGAGACGTGTAAAAGTGTGCAAGTTGCTGCAGCTGAACTGAACGCTGCTAATGAAACAATGGTCAGATAAAGTATCTTTCGGTCTTTCTAACAAAAGGAGGAAGTTCTTAATTTTTTCCGATCACTTCACAATTTGTCAGGTGTTAAGCTTCATGCCCTGCCTGGGCAGAGGAACATAACGGACTTAATTTAAAACCACAAACCTTGTTTTTCAGTTACGATTTGAACTCGGGTCTCTAGAGATGAAATACTGGTGGTTACAATCAATTCTGAAACAAGTGTTTTTCATCCTGTAGGCCATGAGAAGAAGACTGGGATTATTCTTTATTTCCCCCTTCATGTCTAATTACTGTGGTGTGTTTTAAGTGTCCTTGAAAGTCAGTGGTGTTTAACAGGAGCTTTTGCACACTGCAAGGGGTGGTCTTAGAGTCTGTGTTTCCGTTTTGCTCCTGTGCATCCCTTTAAGTGCAGGCGTGGGTCTCCTTGGAGCGGTGAATGCCAATTGTGCCAAATGGTGTGGGGCTGCTTAATGTGAACAGACTGAGTATCGGGCAAATGCTGCTTCTGTTAATCCAATGGATCAAAAATGTTATTTTTTCTAGTTCCATTTCAATTAAGGGTGTTGTACCAGAATAAATATTACTCTGCTGGAATTATGCATATGAATAAGGCAAGCAGATTTAATTTGGAGGCTCTAAGTGAGCGTGAGACTGCTTGCAGTTGATGTATCCAACTTCGATGGCCAGTGCGTTCTGCTAGTTATCCTGGCAGTCACTGGATGCGGTTTTACATTTTGTATCAGAGCTCCTGAGCAAGATCTTATGAAAATGTGCACATGTTCTAAAATAAAAAAATACATGGAATAACATTTCAGCAATATTCATTGTATTGCACACATTTAAAGTAAAAAATAAGGTTTATCTGGTTTATTTGGATTCACTGGTATCAAATGAGTTCTGTTAACGTGTTTTAAATAAGAGCTCTTGGCTGTCATGACATCCCTGATTCTTTCACGTAAGTTATCAATTCTGCAAAGAAAATGCATGGATTCTGTAGAACACAGATTGTTTTAACTTTGCAAGTTGGAAAACTTCCTTGTATTTATTTTTCTTTGGGGCTTGGTGTTCCCTGCATCATGAGATCATGAAAGGATCACAAGAATGGGCCTGCGTTATTGAGTGTTTGGTGTTTGGATCAATGCAAATCCAATGAAAATCAGTGCAAAACATAAGGTGTCCTGTCTTCCCTTGATGCATGAAGAGCCAACGTTCCTCAGACACATCAATACAATGAAAGCTATGAAAAGAAATAATTCATAATATAAATGGCATTGCAAATGGGAGAGCTAGGATTAAAGAATCATCTGCTACTGCAGTGAAACACAAAGCTGTAAAATGCAGGTAAAAATATATAGCATATTCCTTCACAGAAGAAAATTCTGTATGTAAAGGACCCATTTACACCCACTGATGTGGGTGAGATCTCTGGTGTCCACTTCAGTATCTGATACAGGAATATGCTTGTTATAAACAGGGTGGTGAGAAGGGAATTGAGGTCGAGCAGTGGGTTACCATCTCTTTGTTCCTATCAGAGAAGTTGGTGAGTAGCCAGGACAGCCTGTGGGTCTTTTAGCGTGAGGTACCACAAACTTGTGTTCTGGATACAATGGCATTATTCTGATGGGGTTTGAATGAAAATAGGACTTTCCTGCTGAAAAACAAGATGAAAATCAGATTGGAGGAACTCCCCAAATGAAAAATTATTATCAAAGCAATGTGAGCAAGGAAGGCTGGTAGGAGCTGCTGAGCAACCTGTTTCTAACTGCATTAGTGGAAGCTGAAGTTGCTGACTGGAAGGGGCCCTGCAGCTACAATTTCAAGGACTCTGAAGATGCTAGTTAGCTTTGAGCGGGGTTTTTAAGAATACCTTCATGTGTCATTTTCATTGGAATGGGAATATTATGCAGGAGTTAGTGGGAGTTATATTTCAGGGTGCCTCCAAAAATCATGGCCTCATAAATTAGTATTGGAAGGGGCCTCAGGAGGTTTCTGGTCCAACCTCCTGCTCAAAGCAGGGTCAGCTTACGAGATCAAACTAAGTTGCTCCAGGCTTTATCCTGGTGGGTCTTGGAAACCTCCGAGGACAGAGACTGCACAGTCTCCCTGAGCAACCTGTCACAGTGCTTGACGGCCCTCGTGGTGAACCGTGGTGCTTCATCAAAACCGGCCCCAAATCACTAATTATGTTACATAAATTTCTTGTCCCTCAATTTTGTGTTTTGCGTATGACTACTGATGTGGGTCGTGTCCTCACTTCCCCTTAACTGCAATAGATGTTTGCTGCAGCTCAGCTGTTGCGAAGGGTCAGCAGCAAAACGGTTAATGAGTAGCGATCTCAGTGGAAAAATGTGGATTCACAATTAGAATGCTGCATCCAGCAATGTCCATTCTTTTACTCAGGAGGATAAAGAGAGCAGAGGGAAAAGAAATTCACTTGGAAGAAAGGAAAGGCATACAAAGCGGAGTCTATCGGAAGTTGCTCTTTCTCTGCTATAGGTCAAAATACTGTTAAGGAAAATTGAAGGAAAAAATGATACCACGCAGCAAGGTCAGGAGAGGATGAATAAAGGCATCTGCATGTTAAAAGCAGAGGGGATAGAAACCTGAAGGATGTAAGATAAAACGTGCTGATGCTGTGTGCTGTAACCATTTGCAATTAATCATGATACACAGAAAGAATTCCTCACTTCCAACACTTACAGTTTTAGATTCACTGGTTTTGCTCATAATTTCAAGATGAATTTCAAACAGGAATAATTTTCATAATTATTTGGATACTTTTGGTGTTCCAGTTTGTTTTGGGTATAGATAGAAACAGAATAGCTGACCTTTTGTCTAAATATTCCTTTCTTCAGACCTCTATGCATAAATTCTCAAGAAGCCCCCTAGTCAGCTAAATTCTTGGCACCTTCTTATTTTCCATCTGCCAGATGGTTCCTTCTCCCACCAGTCAGGATTATCAGTAATTATCTGTTTCAAGCCATGTGCATGTCTCATAACAGTTTATCATGGGAGTCGTAAAATGGAAAAGGGACATATTTAGTGTTTATATAACTTCCAGAATCACTTCTGGCAGCTTTCAGTATTTGCTTATTTGCCACTGGTGGTTCCTATGGATGCTTGCTGTGCCGGTCTGGGATCAACCCTTCAGATCTCAC